TATGATTTGAATATTTATGGAATATGAATAGAGTTTATTAATTATGATTAATACTTTATATTAGGAAACAATTAATTGATTAAAAATTGAATGGTTGAGATGAGGGTTGTATAGGGTATAGGAATGGCAAAGGGTGTAGAATAACATCCCTATATATATATATATATATATATATATATATATATATATTCTTTTGCATATATACATTATTTTATTTGTGCTACTTGAGACATCTCCATCAATTTAGGTACAAAAAAAATTGCAAAGACAAGTTACTTATTGTGTGCGGAACAGAATCAAGATTTTTCCGTCGATGAAGTCCTTCATTTTCTAATGTAATAATAATAACATTAATAGTACTATTAACAATAACAAAATATTATTATTATGAGTAAACTACGATTTTCATCATTGTGGTTAATTGCGAAAGATTGTGATTTTTGTTCATGTGGTTTTAAAATTTCGATTTTCGTCCTTATGATTTGTAACTTGTTGTTTTCGTCCCCATGATTTGAAATTTACCGTTGATCTCATCCCTAAGATTATATCTACTAAAATCCTCCATTTAACTTAGGGTGCGTTTGGTTTGCAGGAATGTTTCTGAAAGATTTGGATTCCTGAATGGATTTGGATTCCATGGGATTTGGATTCCTGAAGGGATTTGGATTCCATGGGATTTGGATTGGATTTAAAATCCATTCCTGTGTTTGGTTTGCATGATTTGGATTTGATTTGAAATCCATTCCTCTGTTTGGTTTGTAGGATTTGGATTTGATTTGAAATCCATTCCTCTGTTTGGTTTGTAGGATTTGGATTTACATTTTTTTTTGTAATTATTTTAATCACCAAATCTCTTTCATTTTCTTAAATCTATCTATTTAACCAACAAACCTAAAAATTTAACAATCAAACTTTTTCATCCATAATGCATATTTAATCAACAAACATTTTCAAAATACATATATATATATATATATATATTTGATATTAACATTGATATATATATTTAACTACCAACTTGTTCTTTCAAAACCACATATTTACCCACCAAAAATTACCCACATTTAACTACCAACTT